AGCCGAGAGCGACTCTAGCTTCTTGAGTGCTTAGCAAACCTCCCAAGTGCATCCATAACTCAATAGTGTACGCTGTGGTGTTAACCATTTCTTTTATAACATAACATTGATACATTGTAGCTAAAGAGTTCCCGTTTATTTAACAAATCTTACGCGACCAGAAAAAACAAGCGCGCGCGGAAAAATAGTCTTTGCATTTGCTCACGTCAGCAGCGTACACCCATGGGCAAATGAGGAACGCTAAATTGACCAATCAGAGCGCGCGCTTTACTTTGGTTATGTTATAAACACGGTTCAAACGGCGCCGTGCAATGTTTAATAGGCACACTTCAAACGCCACGCCACTTATGCACCGAACCTGTCTGGTGGAATAGAAACAACATCAAAGGGACGTATAGATCAGTTTGATTTAGCAGTTAAAAACTAAAGCGTTCAAAAGTTAAGTTATACAGCGAACTTCTCACGCCTCCAGTTTCAAACTGAAATATCGAGAGAGCCATATTTCCCTCTTTTGTTTCTTGGCTAACTATAAGTAACAAAAACCAACCACATTTGGTTAGCAGAAGATCGGCGCGGCGTTTAAAACGAGCTCTCCTGTTGAATTGCGCAGCGTAAATGAATAAAAATTATTCGATTCGGTTTTCACATATTCCTAAGCTGCACTCATAAAGACAAGAGCGCATACAACTATTGTCTGTAGGTATGACGTCACTTTTACAGATATAAAATCTATTGTCTGTAAGTATGACGTCACTTTTACAGATATAAAATCTATTGTCTGTAGGTATGACGTCACTTTTACAGAAATAAAATCTATTGTCTGTAGGTACGAGGTAAGAAAATGTATAACAATATCCTTTAACAGACAAACTTCTGTAGTAGACAGGCCACAGGATAAGCCCTGTTAACTTCACCCTTTAACCTCCGAAATCTGATTATTAATTCTCTCCTTCGGCTGGAAAACATTTCCCTCTAAATGAGATACGAGAATTTGGCGCGAGAACTGGATAACAACTTCTACCTGTTAAGTTTGAGTATTTTCATCATTTGTTTGCTGGGTAATGTGTAGATATCAGAGCAAGAAGTTACTTGTTAATCAATTGTGGGAGTTAAAGGGTTAAGTTAATTGAACAGTGTAATATGTTGCTGAGCATAAGCAACAAATACTGATAAGGAAATAGAACTGCAACCATTACCCCACTGGAGTAATGGCTAACTACACCACGATGGTGGTGCATCATTAAAAAAAATTCGGTGGGTTGCAGCTTCAAAAAAAGGATTCGTGAGTTTTTTTTTTTTTTTTTACAGTGTTTCCAAGTTAATCGTTTGCAGTATGAAGAGATGTAACTCTACCTGCAAGTTGCCTTACTGTTACTCTTTTCGCGACCTATCCCAAGAGATTACGTATTCCTGTTTTGATTGCTTCTGATCATGGTCATTTATAAATATCACAAACATTCAAACCACTCGACAATTAATCTATCAACTAATTATGAACGGGCAAACTTTCATACCGGATAGGGCGCTTCTCGATTGAGTTTCACCAAAAATCGCCTGTACGATCACAGAAGACACTGGACACAGAGGAAGGTGAAATCAATGAGAGATCAACGTAATCTCACGTGATTGATTGAGAGGATGGGTTATTTAGACCAATCAGAGGACTACATAAAACAAATGCAAGATAACCCGGGATTAGTTTTGACGATCAATTCGCTGAAAACCGGTTGCACTTGAGGGAAGCTAATGCAACACAAGGCGCATAGCTTTTGTTCCCAAACTCACATAGATTTGTCCTGTGCGTCGTGGAGGTTCAAAATATTAGTAATCGGGAGCAGTTCTCCCTTCTCATCTCGGTACTTTTCCTCAAATTTCCTAATGTCACTGCCGCATTCGTATTTGAAAATATCCACAATCTTATTCCAGCGCGAGATCTTGCTCCTTTGGCTGGCCTTCTGAGCTGGGGACCACTGGCACAGCGGTGGCATATCTCCCAGGCCGTTCTCCCAAAGATAAATTACGTCCAGCGCATTCACCTTCTTCGGTAGGATAAAATCCGAACCCTTTTTCGGAGAAGATCCATCATCTTCTAGAATTTCTGAGTCACTACCTATTACTTTATCGTGCTCTTGGTCTTGTGACTCGACATTGGGTTCGTCAGCTTCGTCCTTTGGCGTTATTCCAGAACTCTTTAGAGCAGAAACATAATTTTTTGGCAAATACGATGGAGGCTCGTTTTCTAAATCGTATTTGGACAATATGGCGGAAATAGGCAACAATTCACCTTTCGCGTTGCAAAATCTCTCCTCAAACTTTTCCCAACTCCCGCCGCAATCCTTTCGGAAGATGTCAACGATTTTCTTCCAGCGAAAGAGTTTTGTTTCATGTCCTACTTTGTGGATTTTCGGCCATTTGCTAACCGGTGGGAAAAGTTCGCAGCCTTCCTCCCATAGCTGTACTACATCCTTCGCAGTGACCTTGCGCGGGAGTTGATAAATCTCACTCTCAGTCCCTTCTCCAGTTTTCTGACCAGGAGGCGCATCGGTAAAAGAACTGGATAGGCTTGACGGTGACTCCCAAGCATCAAACATGGCAACAATCGTAGTGACAGGATAAAGCTCACCGCGCTCGTCCGAAAATTTTGATTCAAACAAACTGAGGTCTCCTTTGCAGTGATATTTGTAAATGTCATATATTTTAGTCCACCGCGAAAACTTGCTGCGCTGTCCTGCCTTCTGTGCGGGCGTCCACTTATGAAGGGGCGGTAGGTCACCGTACCCAGTCTCCCACAGCCTGATGATATCCTTGGCAGTGACTTTGCGGGGTAAAATATGACTGCTACCTTCACCAGAGCTCGAAGATTCAATCTTAACACCAGCTGCGCCATTCGATGGGGCAGCACTGGGTGACAATTCTCCTGTTACAGTTTCATCTTGGTCTTCAGCTGTTGCACTTAATCGGCTTCGAGCTTCGGGGATGTCAAAAATAGGTCCCGTAGTTGCGTTTTCCGCATCGTACTTTGCAATGATCGATGAAATAGCCAGAAGATGCCCGCGGTCATTTGAGTACTTAGCATAGAAGCTGTCCCAGTTCCTGTTGCAGTCCTTGTTAAAGATTTCAGCAATTTTACGCCACCGGAATATTTTGGTCTCTTGACCGATTTTCTGAGCACGTGACCATTGACAAACCGGAGGGAATTCCTCGCAGCCCTCCTCTTAGAGGCGAACAATGTCATTTGGCGTTACCTTCCTCGGGAGAAAGTAACGAACTTCAGCTTATGGTTGTGCCAAGCTGCTGTCCACACCTTCTACTTTCGTGGGTTTTCTGTTGACATCAGTACCTTCGGAATCTTCCAATTCAGAATCCAGAGATATCCGTATCTCGTTCTTGAAATCCTCATCCACATCTTGAGTGTCAACCCTATCTTTGCCAAAAGCAGCTACTCCCTCGAGGTCGGAATTGTTTTTACCGAGAAAAGCCGGAGTCTGCTGAGTTTCGTACAACGACAGGTTGGTTGTCACCGGCAGAATTTCACCTTTGTTGTCCGAGAAACTCTCTTCGAATTTCTTCATATCGCCATGATAATGAAGCTTGAAAATATCCACGAGCTTCTTCCACCGGGAAATTGTGCTCTGTTGTTTTAGTTTCTGTGTGGGAGGCCAGTCTTTCAGGGGTGGAAACTCTTCACAGCCATGTCATGGCCTCGAGCCAAATATTTTCCCGTCCGGCCCTCCCGCTCAATCAATAAGTACATAATGCGAAAGGTGCATGCTAAAGGTAATAATAGAAAACGCCATAACTCGTCTTACCCTTAAGAGTTGGTGATTTGGCAGGTTTTTTGTGTTCCAAAATAGTTTTAATGCTTAATTTTTTTAACTTTTATTTTACTACTTTGTGAGTAGAAATAGATTTTATCAACATAGCTGATAATGTGAGTTGGCCACCATAAAGAGAATCTAAAATGGACAAAGGTGCACGCGACAATCTCGAAAGGTATTCTGGTTATCCGTTGATCAAAAGCGCCATGCCTCGTCCTCACAGTAACGCCCCCCAGATTTCACTGGAATCCCCAGGTCAAGAGCTGTAACCGGAAAACTACCTACGATATCTTTCAGAGTTACTGCTCTTTCTTCTGCTGCACTAAAAAAATTCATTCATGAAAGTCAGTATTTTTTAAGGAGCTGCAATCTGCTAGTTTAAAACCTCAAAGTGTAATGAAAACATGCATCTGTTGGTACCCATTTTCCATCCAACAAAGTTAAAATTTCACCTAAGACCGATTGTGTATAGACAGGGTCTGTCCAAAATAAATGATAGCAAAGATTAATATATAAAAAAAAAGAATTTCATGACATTCTTAGTATGAAAACTCGTTAAAGGTCTCATAAGATTTTGTGATTTGACTGAGTTCTGATTCACTATACATACAGTAAATATATAAATGATGAAAAAGACCCTTTTCCTTCCTAATTCCTCTACAGATTAGTTTTAAGCATCATCTCTTGTTTCTGGCTTCAGACACTTCAAATTTCCAACAAGACTGCCCGCTTTATAAAAATGTTACACATTGTATACCAAGATTGAATGATCCTGGGAAGCGTTAACGAATGTATGCGGGCGATGTTTCATTTGAAAGCACAAGAAATCAGAAGGAAAGTAGAGAGTAAATAGATTCAGCACCAGTAAAAAATTTCACCTGTCTACTAATATATTTCCAACGTTGGAGCTAGTGAATGCATAGACAAAGAAAGCTTATTACAAAATCTGTTCTTGTGGCTGATCGTTCGGAATCTTTAAACAATTAACCAATTTTCTTTCCCAGTGATCCTTTTCAACATTCTTTCGATAGTCTATGTAGCTCCTTTTTTGCAGCTCCTTAGGAAGTTTTGCTCTATCAACGTCATCAAGTTTAATAACGACTACACTATCATCTCTCCTTTCCATAAGTCGATGGAGGGCATATTCCATTTCTGAACCACAATAGCTGCTTTTAAAAAAGTTCTTAGACACAACAGCTATTGTCTTTCTAGATATGTAAACACTGTTGACCATATTTTCGCGAAAAGGTACTCCAACAACGAAATCTCTGTAGTGTACACAACATTGAAAATGGTGTTTTTCTTCAAGAGTTGGAATTAGAGTTTTAATCACCCAATCCGAGTCTTGGGAGCTGAAAATGATGAAAGCATCGTATTCAAGTTCAGCTTCTGAAAGAAGAAAATAAGGGTGTGTTATTAGCTTAAAGGTTTATCTCAAAAATCATCTGAGTAGAATTTAAAATCAATCCCATTGAAAACACAAATGATACTAACACAAGAATAAGCTGGTTAGCTGGCTAGCTTATAATGACAAGAAAGGACGTTATCTGGTTATTTTCTTTTTCCTCAGAAACGCAAGCTGTCGACTCTCACTCCAAAACCTATACAGACTAAGATGTAACAAAAATAAGATCATTAAACCTCCTAAAAACAGCTGCCGACGTCTACATTTCAAATTTAACTTACTTGACAGTAAAGCTGAAGGTTTCTTGATGATTCGGTTCGATCGACGGCACCAACAGAAAACGATGACAACAGCCACAATAATTAGCAAGCATACTGAGAGCATTCCAGGGAGAAGAGCATTCCGAGTCTTCTTATCTGGTGAACGACCTACGTTACAAGGTTATCATGTGTTATCGTCAAAGACATCACGAACACTAGAAGTCAGGATAGACCTGATTAAAAATCAAAGATAAAACTGAGTGCATGATTTTGATGATATAAGTTGGTGTTTTTTTGGTACAAGTGGCAGCAGATTGGTGCACTTTGAATTCCTCTCTCCTAATCATTCGCATTATGCGCCTACTTCTCATATTTGGCTTCGCTGCATTGGAATACGGTATAGTTTCATTCATATGACTTCTCTCGACGTGGCTTAAAAGATACCAAATAGTCCACCAGAAGTAAATGTTAATTTTGATTACCGCTGATCACCACGAAAAACCCCGGCTCTTAAATTCTCCACTGGGTCTGTTGGTCCAACTTTAAGAATTAGGGCGATATCCACAAAAACAGTAATATTGTAATAGGAGAGATTAAGAGCGTTGGTTTGTAAGGAATTTCTGTAGTTCATTAAAATTTAAAGCCTATCCCACACATTTTAGCAGAGACTCAACCTATTTCATTGTCTCACTCGCCCTACCAGCGTTTTTTAAGAAGTCTACGAATTACCACATGTTTAGCACTGAGACTTTACATACCATTTTTAGTGTGTTCCGTGTTAGGAGGAGAAAGCGTACTCCCAGGTTCATCGCAGATTGTTCCGTTGAGGTCACAACTAGTATGGGCTGAAAATTTAGGCAAACGCTTTAAAAACACGAACTCCAGACAAAGGCAACATTCTATTTACAGTCTTCTTTCCGAGGAAGTCTCAAAGCGTCATCCATTTGCGTGTGTGCGGGGATTTCCGAGAGGTTACATTATTTGGAAGAATACACAAAGTGGACACAGCGGCAACATGAGTACGTATTCTTGTGACTAGCCCGAAATTTACGCCAACAGAGGAATGGGAACTACAATGTCTCACTATGTGACACTATCAAAGCAAAATGGCGGGATTTTTAAAAATTCTCATTGCTTGTTTTTATTTACAGGGATAAGCCCAAATCAAAACAGAGAAGGTTGCCGTATTCATGTACCCTGGTCCCAGAGGTTCTCTTCTCTCTACCGGAGTACGAGAATTCGGCGCGAAGCGCCGATCAACGAGCTGTAAAGCAGCGAGCGGAGAGAACCTCTGGTCAGGACCGTTGAGAATCTCACTTTCATGCCACCAAGCTTCGGGTGACAGCCATCAATCACGCCCCTTTCCAACAACCAATCAGAGTAAAGTATTAAAATACCTCTGGGGGTACGTGCATGTAGTGTTTTTACTTGTATCTGGAGTAGGGGTGGGGAATATATTTTGTTTCGTGTCAGTATTTGCAATATCTGTCAAAATAATTGTTACACGTGCCAAATGACAAGCTCGCACGTAGTACGAACTCCAACAAAAACCCCGATTAAAATCTACTTCCCTCGGGCAAACGATTATTGCCGATTTTGCAACGAAAACGTCAAGATAAATGGCTATTCTCAATTGAATATTTTCACCGAGAAGAATCGAGATTTTCTGCGCCGCTTTAGGCTTGTTGTGAACGCCAAAGTTGAAAACAATTCCAAGATCTCACAAGTGCTCTGTAAAAAGTGCTACAGGGCTGTCCTAAAGTATGAAAAGGCACTTAGTCAATCCGAAGAATTACAAGAGTTCAGGAATAAATACAAAGTAGTAAACATAGATGTCGGAGAATTGACGCGACGCAAGAGATGTGCGAAAGATTCTCCTTGTAAATCACCGAGAACCGCAAGAGCACCGAGTTCACCAGCGACGAAAACATTTGAACGAGTTCGCAACCCCTAAAGTAAAAGAAAGATTATTTCAACGACTAATGATAGTGCTGAAAGGGACGAAGAAGCTCTGTTCGTTGGGCAACCTCGGAATGCATCACCTACGGAGGTGAGAAGTTTGCAGTTAGTATATGTTGCTAGAAGTATGTGAGCATATTATTGATTTTCTTTGCTTCTCTTCTTAGGTACGCATTTACTATCCGTCTGGTCTAGTTAAGAAAATAGTTAGCGCAAAAAATGGTTTTAGCATTGTAAGACAAATTTGTTCACAAGAATACAATGAAGTGATAAATTCTGTGTGGAAGCATCCCGAACTCAAGGCTAAGATAATCGACTAGACCTATGTGGAGATCAACAAAGAATCAATTGCACTGTGCAGCACCAAAGATCCATCGATACTGAGAAAAACGAAAGCAAGCGATTTGATCGAGTTTGTAATTTCTGCGCTAATCATTGTATTCCGAGGTTGCCCTACGAATACAGCTTCTTCGTCCCTTTCAGCACTATCATTAGTCGTGGAAATAATCTTTCTTTTACTTTTGGGGTTGCGAACTCGTTTAAATGTTTTCGTCGCACATCTCTTGCGTCGCGTCAATTGCGTCGCGCCTCCTTCTCCCCTCGCCCCAATTCCCCTCTTCTCCTCCAGGGCTTGCTTCCCAATCCCCCCTCCTCTCCCCCAGGGCTTGCTTCGCAGGCTATTATTTTGACAGATATTGTAAATACTGACACGAAACAAAGTATATTCCCCACCCCTACCCCAGATACAAGTAAAAACACTACATGCACGTACCCCCAGAGGTATTTTAATACTTTACTCTGATTGGTTGTTGGAAAGGGGCGTGATTGATGGCTGTCACCCGAAGCTTGGTGGCATGAAGGTGAGATTCTCAACGGTCCTGACCAGAGGTTCTCTCCGCTCGCTGCTTTACAGCTCGTTGGTCGGCGCTTCGCGCCGAAAAGTCTCGTACTTCGGTAGAGAGAAGAGAACCTCTGGGACCAGGGTAGTATTCATGAAAAGTTCTGTCAAACCTCCTCCGTCACATATCTTACTCAAAAAAGCAGTATTTTAGTAACAGTTGTGAATTTAGTGACTGAAGTTGGACAGCTGTAGCATGGCTACGAAGTTCGTAGTACCTGTTATCGCTTCAGCGTTTCTTGTCATCGCCTCCCCAGAAGGTAACCCTTTGGAGAAAAAGTCTGTTGTCTCGGCGGAAAAATCCGCGTCTGCTTATTATATTTGCAGAAGAAGAATCGTAGCCCTGAATACTCAAATGGCTCGAATAGTGGAACATGGGCACTCGTATTTCCGCTGTGTCCACAATGTAGGTCATTGGGAGAGCATGAGTGAAAGTGTATTGAACCAACCTCGTTCTCGCCCCAACTCCAACTAAGGGAAAAGGCCCTGGGAACGAGGTTGGTATTAAACAGGTTCTTATCCGTCACATATTTGACGAGGAATGCACTCCCGAAATCGTTCCCGATATGAATGCTTAAAAGTAAGTGTCAAATTAAAAAACATCATCGTTTACATTTAGTAACTATGGAGAATGCTTGACCCAAAGGAACTGTCGCTCCGCTATGTGCATATATGACAAAGTTTGCGGTGCCGTGTTTAAACTGGTACGACCTGTCACAGGAACGGTGGGTTTCACATCTTTGATGAGGAATGCACTCCTGAAATCGTTTTGGATGTAATTGCAAAATTGCATTCTGCAGCAGCGATTGGCTGCCCGCCTATGCGACAGTGGTAATGATGGCAGTTATTCTAAGATTCGTCACAGTTCTTAACCATTTAACTCCTAATAGTGATTAAGAAGTGATTCTCCCTACCCTGCCATACACTTTCGAGAAGAAAAGTGATTGCTAAAATGAGATATTGATTGATTTAAAACAACATTATACAAACCATATTTACAAGTTAAGTAAGAACGTTTCTGAGAAGTACCCTTTAGTAACTATGCAGAATGCTTTACTTAAAGAACAGTCACTCCGCTAGGTGCGCTTATGAGAAAGTTTGCAGCGCGTGCTTAAAAAAGGTACTCACCTGTCACAGGAACCGTGGGTTTCACATAGTTGATAAGGTATGCACTCCTGAAATTCCTGCCGATATGATTGCTCGCATAGCAAGTGTAGAGTCCAAAATCATCTTCGGTCACATTTACAATAGTCACCTCAACACCATAATTACTTTTAACTTTAACAGTCCTGTAATAGTATGGGTCTATAAGTCGATATGATCCATTTAAGATGTCTTTGTAAGTTTTAGGCATAGCAGTGACGGTTTTGTTCCATTTAAGCCATCTGAAATCCGGGAGAGTTCCAATAACTAGAACAATACAGGTAAATGTCACGTTATCTCCAACCTTCACAGTTTTGTTCTTTGGAAGATTGGTTTGTAGGATTGGAGCTGACCGGGGTCTAGCTGTTAAGAAAAGGGAAATAGTTTTGAAGTGAGGATACTTGATTTCGACATGATGTGCCAATCACAAGCCAGCAAACAAATTTTCAAACGCTGACAAATTTGCAACATCTGGAAAATTACGAGTTCTTGTGTGTCCCAAATTGCACGAAAAACTTGTTGATATCATAGGGAATGGTGTACTGTCTCTTTTGTCTGCCTATATCGATATCGCCATTTATTATCATACAGTCCTGAGGCTTTTTTTTTTTTATATCTTTTCTTCTCTCTGAACTGTAAATGTCACCATTCTCTACTTAAAATACGACAGTTTTCCCCCTAGGAATGTCACCCTCTTGAAGCGGATTGGAATTAACACACTCTCTCAGTCTAAAATTATACAAAACTCACGCACTTTTTTTTCATTTGTTAAGTGAAAACAAAACAGAAAAAAAGCAAAATAAACACAGAAAAAAGTTTTCCAATCATTGATCGAGTTGTTTTTTACATTTTCATACAGATTAAATTATAAGTTCATTTGCTGGACTTACCAACAACTTGAAGAGTAAAGGTGTGATTTATTGATCCATAATGATTTGATACTAGACAAGTGTATCTCCCAGAATCAGTGGGTACAAGATCGCGCAGTTTTAAGTACCAAATGGAGGTATTACCATATGGACCCAAACGTCGCTTTTGTACGACCTTTCCGTCCTTTAACCATTTGTATTTGAGCGGTGGTGCACCAGTTGCTCGACATTTCAGTCGTATGGAGTGTGATGCAGGCCATGCCCTGAATGATCTCTTCAGCAAGTTTGGATCGCTAAATACTGGTGCTCCTGCTAAAGTGCGAAAACAATCAACGAAAAATTTATGAAGCGCGTACTTACCAACGTACCTACCTACCAATAATAATCATAGAACTAAGTGAAGTCCAATTTGGTCTGTGATCACATGAATGATTACAAAATCGAACGAACGCCGACGCGAAGCTGGAGTCCGATTTTCTAATCACGAGGATAATTGCAGACAACTGGAGGACACGAAGACCTGTTTCCAATTAATCAAAAATTTCAAAAAAATTACAAAACAAACTAGCCATCGGTTATATAAGAAGGAACAATTAGCTCTACGAGGTGCGAGACAGCATTCTGCGCACTTGTAACGCGATAACTTCCTTATTACACTGTCCAGTTACAAGTATGACTCCTGCTCTGTTCCATCAGTGCTCAACTCGAGTGTTTGATTTTAGTTTCGACTAATGGTGTTAACGAAGGGTCACTTTTTTTCTTATATCTATTCCGCTTATGCCTCACTCCTGTTTGTTTGTATTCATTGCCTCTTTTCACTAGAGGGCTATGCGTTTGGCCCAGTACAATAACCACAGCTTCTTTCGATGAACTTTCATCCGCTAGTTACCCAAAACAATCATAAAAAAGTACAGCTACTTACTGGATTCCGTTGTCTTGAGATCTGTCGTTACATCTGAAAATAGAGAGATCGTTACTTAAGACCTTGAACCTCCAAAATTGTGGTTTGGGGATATAATGGTGTTTAGTCTTGTTAAGATATGCCGGCTTAGATACATGTACGTACTCTGAGCTTAGGGTGCAAAGTGTCAAAAAGTCGCCAAAAGCGTATCCGCAGTCCTTTTTATGTCTTTATATTCAAGCAAAAATCATTACAAGGAAACTACAATCAGCAAATTATGAACAGTCACCAAAGTATTAGGGTTGCTTTGGCAAACCAAAAAGAACAAACTCATTAAGTGCTCCTCTGTAGATCTTACCTGCTTGCTTACCTCTGGCCTGATGCTCAGTTGTAAGCCTTCTAGTTGCTGATCGTGAATCAATAGCTGTCAGATTTTCATCATGAGGCACGTGTAGCTGGAGCGTCAGGTTGACTTTACCTAGAGGATTTTCAGCAATGCAGGTGTAGTTACCTCGGTCCTCAAGTCAAACTCCTTTGATCTTTATAGTTTTGTCCTTGTTTAGTTTTCTTATCCTTTCCGACTGGTGGAAAGGCTGGTCGTTTTTGATCCATGTGATAGACGGTGGAGGGAGCCCCGTCACAGCACATCTTAAACGTTTTATGCTTCCTAATCGAGTGACATACTGTAGTTTCGGAGTGCCTCGAACACGTGGTGGATAACTGTCTATAAAGATTGAATAATTGATATTCCAAGTCAGTCATATATTATTAATTGTTTTTTATTAGCTGTAGAGTCAAAAGGAAAGGAAAACCCTACGCGTATAGTAACAAACATTGGAACTTGGTTTAGCTATGCTAAGGGATAATGCCATGCCGGAGACGGATTTTAAACAATACAGTCGAGATAATTGCGCTTTCGAAGTAAGAAGTATTGCACATTTCTCCTTAGGGCTTGACGCCTTTAAATATTCCCATCCTCATGATCTCTTTTAAACCACGAAGTATCTATAAATTTGATGTTACGCGGCGTAGACAGTATGGATCCTAAATGTGACCAGAGAATAATTAAGATTTCTCTTGAAAACTACTTTGTTGGTTTTATCACAGGGAGCCCACACAAGCGGCGTGTCTGGTCGTTTGTTTGAAATATAAAGAAATGTATGGGAGAATATTGAAGAGTCGTAATATCGTAAACTTATATCAAGGAATGTCTATGTTAAGGCTCAAAATAAATGTAAACCTACCTCACTTGCCGTGTATTGTCATTTCTGTGGTTCTAAATGGGGAATTTGAGCGATTTGGTAGATTTTGTGTTGACTGTTACTTTACTGTATATACTTTACTTTACTTCTTATACAGTCAGAGTAACAGTCAACGCAAAATCTACCAAATCGCTCAAATTCCCCATTTAGAACCACAGAAACGACAATATACGGCAAGTGAGGTAGGTTTACATTTATTTTGAGCCTTAACATAGACATTTCTCGATATAAGTTTACGATATTACGACTCTTCAATATTGTCCCATACATTTCTTTATATTTCGAACAAACGACCAGACACGCCGCTTGTGTGGGCCCCATGTGGTTTTATGGCTTAATGTTTCACGATGTGTCTTGCCCAAAAAGTTTCAAGTTTGATCAGTATATTTGCAGAATTTCCACATCTCCAGACTTCCACATTTTAAGATTACCAAGTTAAAAGGTACCAAGTTAAAATACATCGGAATAATAGAAAAACTCATCTCCACGTTTCCAGATTCCCAAATTTCCCCATTTCTACATTTCCAGACTACCAAGTTAAGAAACAAGTGAGTAAGCTTAAGACTTACTTGCTTATTTGCATATTTAACATTTCCAGACTACAAGGTTAACATAGTTGTGAGTTAATTTCAATATATCAACAAAGTTGAAATGGTAAATTGGCCACCGTTACTTTACGATTATAAAAGCTGACGTTTTGAGCGTTAGCCCTTCGTCGAGGCGAATGAGTTAGCTACTCTCTACGCACTTCATTTTTTAAAACCTAAAAATCTAACTAGTTTCTTTGGGAACAATTCCAAATCTCACATTTGCACGTTTCAAGGTTACTCTAAGGCGATTAATTTTATGTGCAGCACATTCTGTTGTGATAACCTGTTCTGTGTTCTTCTACCCTTGGTAAAAGCCATGAAAACTTGGTAGCGATGGAATGCCAGCCCGAAGGAAAGACGAAATTGAACGACAAAAGAGCACATACTCAGTTAAGGAAAATAAAAAAGAAGAGTAGACAGAGGGCATGACACAGCTGGACAGGATCCAGAAGGGAAGCAATGGACAGGAATTCAAGAACTGGGTAAGAGTTTTTTTTTTTTCTTGTACCTTTAAATTGAGTTTGAAAATATTTATATTAGATAAGCATGCCTCTAGGGTAACAGGTTAGCGAATTATGAATGCTGTAGGTTGCTCTTGGGTATTTATTACATTTTCCTGAAAACTGCGAAAACTTTATCGTTCGCGGTTGGTCAGTCACAAACTGAGTCAATGAATCAAAGTTCAACGCAGAATTTCGAACAACAACGCATGAAGGAAGTAGAAGTTGGGTTGATTCTTGGTTTTCACGTGACTTCTTCAAAATTGAAAGATAAAGATTATCAATCCCTTTGAGATTTTATTTTAGTTCATAAGTCTTTAGTTTGATAGGGTTTTTTCGTCTTGTGATATTTCAAAGCTTTTGCGTGATACGATATTAAAATGACGGCCGAGGAAAAAAGTGATTTATCCGCTGAGATTTCGCAATCTGAACAGTCCTAGAAAGAGAATAAGAACTCATATAGATGTTTATGAGCCCTCAAAGGACGATTACATGCTATTTATAGCGAAACTCGATGACGCTTCCGGCCGCCATCTTTGTGCCCCACATGGCGTCTCCATACAAAGCCATATAAATTTGAGTCAAACACTTCTTCGAATATCTCCCGCACTAAACATCACTCAGACCTGAATATTAGTGCGAGACTGCTGGATTAATTAGTTGAATGGCTTTTGTGATGGTGAAAGTGAAAAGTGGAAACCGGAAATAGAACATTAGAACCTTACAACTGGCATGATCTCTTCATCTCAAACATTTATTTCCCATTGTGCCAAAGCCTCTTCTTAACACATTAAACTACGGCTTTGTAACTGATCCTAAACAGAATCAGTAGTATGGGAAATTTTCTCTGATTTAGTAACCATACCACAAAGCCTCGCTCTGACATTTACTGACGCTTCTACGCATCATAATATTTCCGTTCAGGGCTTATACTATTTTGCGAAACGAAACGAAATTGTACTATTTTGCGAAACGAAACGAAACGAAATTTTGCGAAATGGCCTTTTTTCGCCTTTATTTAGCAAATATGTCCTCTTCGTCCGAAACAAAATGTGTCCACTAATAAAATGATCAATATTTCTAAGAGTCTAATCACCTCTCATTTTATTAACCATAATAGTACTCGTTTCGCAAAGTAGTAATTTTGACAGAATGACTATTTTGCGAAAAGGCGTTTTTTTCACCTTTATTTAGAAAATATCTCCTCTTCGTCCGAAACAAAGTGTTTCCACTAATAAAATAATCAATATTTCGAAGAGCCTGGTTACCTCTCATTTTATTGACCATAATAGAACTCGTTTCGCAAAGTAGTAATTTTGACAGAATTACTATTTTGCGAAATGGCGTTTTTTCACCTTTATTTAGCAAATATGTCCTCTTCGTACGAAACAAAATGTTTCCACTAATAAAATGATCAATAATTCTAAGAGCCTGGTCACCTCTCATTTTATTGCCCATAATAGAACTCGTTTCGCAAAGTAGTAATTTTGACAGAATTACTATTTTGCGAAATGGCGTTTTTTCACCTTTATTTAGCAAATATGCCCTCTTCGTCCGAAACAAAATGTGTCCTCTAATAAAATGATCAATATTTCTAAGAGCCTGGTCACCTCTGGTCACCTTATAACGTATTTTCCTAGCAGTTTGACCAAACATCAAGTGTTCATTGAGTTCGGCTGGAATTAAGATCGGCGTTTGAATCAATTGAGTCCTTCTAAATAATTTGGGTTGGCCTTAATTAAAATTTGGTTTGGCTCACGAAACGATCGACGTTTGAACTGGGCCTAACTTTCGAATGCACGCGAAGTTTAAAATTATAATTTTAGATATTTCACGAGTTATTTTTGGCATCAGCAATGTTATTTTTCCTCTTAATGTTTTACTTAACTGCAATGGACGGTCATTCCAAACGTGAAGCGTTAGAAATAATTAGAACACTGGCCACCAACTCTGCAATAATTTACGACTTCTAGTTAAATTAATGACATACGTCGTGACTTATTAACTAAATATTTACAATTTAAAATCTTAAGTACGATGAGTTCTTTATGGTGCCAAATTTTGATTCAGCGGCANGAGGACATATTTGCTAAATAAAAGCGAAAAAACGCCATTTCGCAAAATAGTAATTCTGTCAAAATTACTACTTTGCGAAACGAGTTCTGTTATGGTCAATAAAATGAGAGGTGACCAGGCTCTTAGAAATATTGATCATTTTATTAGTGGAAACATTTTGTTTCGGACGAAGAGGACATATTTGCTGAATAAAGGCGAATAAACGCCATTTCGCAAAATAGTCATTCTGTCAAAATTTCTACTTTGCGAAACAAGTACTATTATGGTCAATAAAATGAGAGGTGATTAGGCTCTTAGAAATATTGATCATTTTATTGGTAGACACATTTGTTTCCGACGAAGAGGACATATTTGCTAAATAAAGGCGAAAAAACGCCATTTGGCAAAATTTCATTTCGTTTCGTTTCGCAAAATAGTACAATTTCGTTTCGTTTCGCAAAATAATACAATTTCGTTTCGTTTCGCAAAATAGTATAAGCCTCCGTTCAGCCCATTTTCATGTTCCCCTTAAAAGCTTTCCCCGTGATACATACCTGAATATGCTCTGGAAGGAATCAAAGCCATACAGAGAAGGAACACTAAGACAATTGAAATTGTGTCGTCCATGTTTGGATCGAAGCTGGTAAATCTAATTCTGTTGCAGCGTATCGGCTGCATTCGCAGTGAGGTAGCCTCTCCTGTAAGTTTGCCTTCCAGAAAACCAACCTATTCGCAAAGCGGGATTTGGGGTAAGATTATAGAGAAGGAAAATCTAGTTACTAAATTTACACCGAATACTAGTTGACAACTTTGGGATTATGTCCATGACTTTAGGGTCAACCTCCGGATGCGATCACTTGCTAGATCACGTACACAATCATACTATGATCAAAACCTTCAAGTCTATATCAAAATCAAAACTCTACTAGTAGACGGTCAGAAGAGAACAAGATATCCCACACATATTGAGCTTATTTGAAATGAAACAATGTACATCACTATTTATTTGAATTTACCTACATATACGGCAAGTAAAGAAAGTTCTAACCCGGCTTAGGGCAAAATGTGCTATTATTTTATGAAAGCTTGTTTAATACGGAAGAGTATCTTTCTGTAAGGCGATCTGTCTCTTGAAAGATCGAGTTCACGCGAGGAAAGAGAAATGATCGGAAAAACAAAGCAAATTACCCCTCAAGGCTGAGACACACAAGCTTCCGTTTGATAGAGGGAAGTGCTTGCCAAGATTAACGCTCGTTTCGATCGGTTAGTAGTACGTGGGGGATTTTTCCAGAGTCAACCTAACCTCTAGTCTCCCTCGCAGCCGTTTTTTTTTTTTTTTCGATGTCACGCAACGTTGCGTGACATCCAAAAAAACGGCTTCGAGGGAGACTACCTAACCTCGGAACAGGTCACGCAAAATATTAGAGACTTCTTTGTTTCTTCAAGGAAAGTTCATACGACTAAAAATAGGTAAGAATAGGACACCGCTATACTCCTTGGTTCCGGAAATGTTAAGAAATTGACCATTTAGGCGTTAGATTTCACGTGTAGTATAAGTGACTTTTTACGTAAAGAAACCCCAAAAGTTCGAACATCCGGTCTCGATATGCCGTACAACCCAAACGGCGGCGACGAGTTGAAGTTGTTCACGGTCTTCAAGTGGATTGGGAATTAGCATATCAGTAATTATTAAATTTTCTGCAGCATTGGTGTAATCTTTTTCGAAGTTTGGATCCGCTGGCAAAACCATTCTTTTGACTGCAGAGGCGATTTCTACCAAATTCCGGAATGAAATTGCGGGAATTGTCTGTTCCATTCACTCCCCCACCCAGAATTTCCGGAATTTGTGGTCGAATGGAAAGCGCCCTGAGTGTTCTCGAATTTTCTTGAAGAACTTTGGCAGCAAACCAATTTCCATGATCGATTGCCGGATGAAGGGTGTGATAATTCCCGCATCTCACACAGTCTGTACAAGATCTTCTCGTTTACCGCTTAATTTTAAGCCCCTACATTTTAACCACCGTTTTAGCTGGTCTTCAGTATATTCTTCCGGCTCTCTTTCAAATTTGGAGCCAGGAACGCCGTCCTCTTCGGTCAGAACTGTAAGGGAATAAGCGAACTACTCGCCAATTCCCTTGTAGCTCTCAAAGAAGTGGAGTTTGTTTGTCTGAGTCACGCGGGGGGTCTAAAATTTCATGACGTCATTAGTTTAAAGCGCTATTAGCTATTATCACCAAGAAGTCAACACAAATGAGAAGAAGAAGAGATTCTGCGGCGTGATTGTTTCAACTTTACCTAATACGCATCTATCAGTATACGCACATATGGTGACTGACGCAGTGTTTTACAAACAAGAAATTATTCGGAAAAACAGTCGAAACAAGAAATCAGTTCGTCGCCATGATTCTTAGTTCGCTTATGTTAAAAGCGTTTCTTCTTGGTGTTCTGGGCTCTCTGGATAGTGGAGGGGAAACTCGTGCGTGTTCAGGTTGGTGTCAGTCCGCTTTAAATATTCTCCACTGTCAGTTATAAGGTCATGCTATCGCTACCCTGCCTTGAAGCAAACTCTTCACATAGCTTTATAAGAGCGAAGAGGACGCTTCATCCGATTGTTGTTACGAGTTCACGCTTGACGATGCATCATGGGTAATCAGGACATTGCTCAAAACAAAATGGCGGACGCGCTTCGATGAGTCTTTGGTTTCATTCATATTCATGTCCTTTGTTCTAGGTTAGCATGCTCAGTTAGCGTCTCAAACCATTGACTACTAGAGAAGACGATACAGAGAGTTTATTTTTACAGTTTTTGGAGTCTATTTTATTCACAAAAACGTAAAAAATACACAAGGGCTATGCCAGTTTATCGCTGTTGTGTTGGAGGTTGCGACAACGATTCGAGATACAAAGAGAAAATTGTAAAGAGAAGCCACGTTGAGGGCGCACTCCGTTTGCATCATTTCCCTAAACAATCAGAGAAGAGAAAGCAATGGACTAAGAACGTTTCAAAAGGCCTGTCTGACGTTGTTGCCAGCGACCACAAGACTGTTTGCTCCAACCATTTCGAGTACGGAAAGCCAACATTCGCTTCTCCGAATCCAACGCTATTCCTTGTGCCTAGCGGCAAGAACAAGTCATCGCCAAGAAAGCGAAAGCTACCAACTAGGACGTCAAAAGGCCCATCGACTAAAGAAACTAAAGAACTCAAGTACAAGGAGACAGGGTCCCAATGCACCATTGGGACCCTGTTAGGCTTATTCAAGCCTAACATTTGCTCATTTGACACGTGAACACGATGTTAATAATTTTACTGGTTTAACAGTTAAGAGTTTTCGATTAATCTTCGACCATGTCAAAGGAAAAGCTTCAGTGATGCACTACTGGAAAGGCCCCAAAAGAACAGGGGACACATCCAAACTTAAAATTGATAGACAAGTGAGAGCCCTCACTTTAGAGCAAGAATTTCCGCTTACCATGATGAAGCTCAGACTTGGTCTGTTCCTCTTTGACCTAGTATTTAGATTTGATATTTCAGCATCAGTAACAAGCTCAATATTCACCACATGGGTCAAGTTCCGGGCAAAAGAACTGAAGTGGCTGATAGTATTGCCAGACAGAATAGTTACACACAGGAATCTTCCTGATATGTTTAAGAAGTACTACCCTAAGTGTAGAGTTATACTGGATTGCACTGAAATCTACATCGAAACACCATCTGATTTGGCAGTAGCTGCCCAGTGCTGGTCTGCTTATAAACATCATCACACCATTAAATTTCTTGTTGGCATTACTCCCAATGGTGCAATATCATTCCTATCTGATTTTTATGGTGGAAGAGCTAGTGACCTATTTATTGTTGAAGACTGGTTTTGTTAACTACCTACAGCCTCATGATCAAGTTATGGTAGACTGCAGTTTCAAAATCAAGGATTTACTTGCATTTTACCAATGTTCACTGGCTATACCTTCCTCAAAACATGGTAACCTTCAAATGTCAGGGACTGATGTCAGGGAAACCTCACTTATAGTCAATGTCCGAATCTATGTTGAGCAAGCAATACGAAGAATTAAATGCTTTGAGATCTTAAAGAAAGAATTACCAATCACCCTGCTACCACTTGCAGATGATATTGTAGTTCTTTGCTCAGCACTGTGTAATTTGTCACCACCTCTCAGTGTATAGTTACTAAGTTACTTTCAAAACTATTCTATTCGTTATAGTACAAACAATGTAAATATAGAACTTCAATAATTCGAAATAGCAATAGCAATATCATGCACATTGCTTTATTTTCAGCTTTATAGAATGCTTACAGTGTTTCATGGTTTATACTACTAAAATGAAAAATAGGGTAATAACAATAATACTGTCAACATAAACAAACATCACTGTGATGAAAAGATTGAAAACAAGATGAAATAAATTGAACCCAGATAACATATATATTTTATTATGAAGTAATTTCTTATTAACAACAGTGTGTATTATATTCTATATAGCTTATGTTTTATATTGATAGCCAAAACTTTTACAGCAGAGTATTATTCCAACTTGGATTTGACTGTGAGTTGTTGTGGACACAGAAATAACAATGAAAGAAGTATTGTATAACTCTAGAACTGTCCATGCATGTATTGAGTTTTATAAATAGTGTATAGAAAACAATAGAAACAATTTTTATTTTTGCAGTATATCTGTATGAGTCACTTCCTGGTAATGTTCAGTTTCAAACACTTTATATTATATTGTTCTAAGCTATTTTTAAGTCCTAAAACCATACGATTATATGCAAAGCCAAAAAAAATACTTTAGGTGCATTAACACAAAATATCATAAAATGACCTTACATACTGTCACTACCTTATAGATTTACAAATCTTGGGCAATTTCATTGCAACTGACACAAATAAAAGTGCTGTCTTCATTAACATCTCTGCCGACACATACACAGTGTAACCATATTTGGCAAGACTCACACTGAATACTCTCTTCACTGTTTCCACTGTCAAACTCTTCAGGTTCCAGGCGTGGTTTCTCACAAACAAAACAAAAGCAAAGGGGTCTGAGACCCAACAGCAACCTTTGAACGTAACCTTTGAAAAAAATAATAAGTTTGGTAATGATATCTTTCCACAAACTTACATCAAAATCAATTTTTTCAATTAGTGGTTGACCTTGTTGAATATCAACCGATTTAAGTAGTGCTTTGTATTCATGTTGTAAAACTTTTGCCAACTCTTCAGCAGAATTTTTTACTGGGACGTTTTGTTCAAACGCAACCAGCGCACGTGCTGCTAGGTCTGAATGATTTCCACTGACTGGAATAGCTCTCTGTCGAAGATAGAACTTCAGTTCGTCCCACGAGAGTTCGAGGAAGTCCTCGAGGTGCTTTGCCATGAAGAATCGTTGTCTCAATTTAGTGTCCTGAGCCAGAAAAACTGTAAAAATAAACTCTCTGTATCTTCTTGTATTGTAGTTAATGGTTGGAGACGCTAACTCAGCATGCTAACCTAGAACAAAGGACATGAAACAAAAGACCCATCGAAGCGCGTCCGCCATTTTTTTTTTTTAGCAATGTCCTGATTACCCATGATGCATCGTCAAGCTTGAACTCGTCTATAAAAAACTTCGATTGCCGCTTTGCCAAATTTCATAATACGGCTTAAAGGTCTGGAGTGTCTATGATAAATACTTCCTAATTACACTTAGCAGAAGGAGTAAGTTTTACTCACACGTGAACTAGCAATTGGCCCGCCAATATCGCAGTCAGAAATGAAACAGGTGGCCGGATTATTCCGGATACTGAACTTGCAGGAAATACTTCGAATTTGTCTCAGTAACGAACCGAAAAGTTCGGACGACCACAAATCACACAATAGATTTGAGGGCAAGAGTACCATTTAACCCCATACATTAATTATGCATTCAGACTGGGCCGATGAGTAATTGAAGAACACGGCTGACAAGGCTTGGATTTTCAGTATTTATTCGAGCTGTAGAGAGGGTGTTACGAAAACAAATACCCTCGAAAACGAAGACCTAAGACCTAAGACCCGGTCTTCGTTTTCGTACTACGAAAACGGAGACCCCCGATCTTTGTTTTCGTACTACGAAAACGAAGACCCTGTAAACAGAAAACCGTAGAAATTACAAGTTAAACACACATTAAACAGTAACAACGCTTAGTAATATAATACATTACACTTCACGCGTTTCTTCCATTATCATACTGCCCGTATTATTGTACTGCCCGTATTATTGTACTGCCCGTATTATTGTACTGCCCGTATACGGCCCGTCTTGTCAGTGTTCTTTTTCGCTGTGCGAACCAATTTGGTGTTGATATTCTCGAGGGTTTCCTCGGATAAACTTACCACACACATTATTATTCTGGAACAGCAGGCAGAATTCGAACACTAGCCGCCTTTGATTTATGGTTAGCATTGCGTGACAGAATAATATAGAAGGCGTTCTTTACAGGAAAATTTACTCTTGGTTCTGTCAATAAATAATCAATTTCTACTGTATTTCGCAGCTAAAATAGATTCTGACAGCCTTTCAGCTTTCTTTGCTGGAAAATTTTCGTTAAAAAATAAGCAATTCTTTTGGCTAATGCAGGGTCTTCGTTTTCGTAGGACGACAACGAAGACCCACGGTCTTTGTTTTCGTAGTACGAAAACGAAGACCCCTGGTATTCGGTAAAAACCGTAAAAATTACAAGTTAAACGCACATTAAACAGTAACAACGCTTTGTAATATAATACATTACACTTCACGCGTTTCTTCCCATTATCGTACTGCCCGTATTATTATACTGCCCGTATTATTATACTGCCCGTATCATTATACTGCCCGTATTATTATACTGCCCGTATTATTATACGGCCCGTCTTGTCTGTTCTGTTTCGCTATGCGAGCCAATTTGGTGTTAAGATTCTCAAGGGTTTCCTCGGGTAAACTTACCACACATTTTATTATTCTGGAACAGCAGGCAGAATTCCAACGCCAGCCGCCTTTCATTTACAGTTAGCATCGCGTGACAAAATAACAGAGAAAGCTTTCTGTACAGGAAAAATGACTTTTAGGTTATGTCAATAAATAATCGATTTCTACTGCATTTCGTAGCTAAAANAAAAAAATGAATGGAAGAAGAGTAGTTGATTGTTTGCATAAATTAATGCAATGCACATGCAAGATAGTGGAATATACTTCAGGTAAACATACATGTGCCTGTAAAAGTTTCAAATGACTTGAGTTATAAAAATATAATAATAATAATAATAATAATAATAATAATAAAGTGGGTTTCATTGAAAATGCTTTCGTGTAAAACAATTAGAGCTGTTTGGGAAATTAAAGTAGCTTTTGTTGGAACAGAATAACGCTTGTTTAGTGATGTTTACAAAGGAAGTGGAAATCGAAGAAATGGCGAATTGTTTGCTGCGTTAAGGCTTGACAAAGATTATTATATAGGCGATTGATTGAGGGCGCGGAAAATATGCAATATTTGAGACCGTCCAACATGATCGGTTCATTTATAATTTACCTCGAATTAAGCCTTTATTGACAGCAGTTGATAGTAGATCTCTATTACATGTCTTTAGTACGTTTGGTTGTGCCTGTTCACGAGATAACTTGTTGATAAAACTGCAAGTATATGAAATGAACAAATGTCTTCATATTTTGATTACGGACACCCGTTCGTAAAGACACAGAAAATCAGAAGGGTGGAATGGCGAAAAATCAGTCTATTAAGGTAAAATTCTCATCCAAGCGAATAATTACCAAAATGAAAAGGCACCGCACGTCGGCGCAAAGTGAGTGTATGAATATTTTCAAAACACAATAATTACCTGTATCGTTTCATGCTAATAACACTTAAAAATCCAACAAGTCTTCAGACTCGCTGGTAAAGTATCTTACAGAACTGATCTCCTGCTTTGTCTGGATAACTATCACTGTTTTTGACAATTCTGAAGGCGAGGGCGAGTGAAGAACCAAGATCGCGCTTCGTAACTGGACGGCCAGCCTAAGTCAGCAAACAGCACACAACTCCAAACAAAATGACTCCCCTATACCGCTAGTTGTTAAGACGTGGTTTTAGTATTAAAAACTAATTCATAGGATCAAATATAACAAACAAGGAGAAGTATCATGCATATTTTCCGACTTAAAACCATGCAAAAGGCCGATGTCTTCATATGGAGCATATGGAACATATGAAACATATGGAACTAATGGAACATATGGAACTTATGAAACATATGGAAGCGCTTGGCAGCCTTAAGTTGATGACCACTGACCAGTTACTGTGACGTCACGAAAACGTACTTCCGCGGTGTCCTCACACAAGCAGCGTGTCTGGTCGTTTGTTCGAAATATAAAGAAATGTATGGGAGAACATTGAAGAGTCGTAATATCGTAAATATCAAGGAATGTCTGTGTCTATGGTAGATTTTGCGTTTAAGTTATACAGTAAAGTAACAGTCGACGCAAAATCTACCACAGAAACGACAGTACACAGCAAGTGAGGTAGGTTTACATTTATTCTGAGCCTTAAACACATTGACACCTGAACCGCCCGTAACCGCCCGATCCTCGCGATTGCCTCGCGCGAGAACGCTTTCCCCCCTACTAAGTGGGGTTTTGTCCCCAATCTTCCTCTATAGTTTAGAGATCTATAAGCCAATCAGAATCCGTCGTTTGCGCATTTATTTTGTTGGCTTTAGGGGGTACCTTAGGGTCATTACTCTATGCGTCTTCACTAAATGATCAAATTTGAAAATATGGCGTCCGCGCGGCCGACCCTTAAAATTTTCAGGTCGGATTTTTCGTTCATTTGCGATCGAGTTGGACCTTGTGGAACTTAGAATGTAAAGTAACAATGCTATAGAATACTCTGCTTGGAAAATAATGGATATCAAGGTCTTAAAGGTGACAGAATAAGCTCTTGAGACAGCGACACGACGAGTCTCAAAGGCGATGCGAATATGGACGTATAGTGAAAACCGAACTTTCGGACTTCAAGCAGGGCCTAGCGACAATTTGACGATTCGATGGTCCGGTAAATATTTTTTTCGAGTGACAATGTGTTCAAAAAGTATTTTTTAATAGAATATTTTGCCTCAAATCGAAGTTTTTTCAGAATTTTCAACATAAGGCTGCGCAATTTCTGGCCATGAAGGCAAGTAAACAACGATCTAAGCATGATGAATTTTACCATGTGCGTGTGGGCTTTGTACACGTAAGAAAATTCATGTGGACGGGTATTCTGAAGTTGCTCCGAAATTCGTACGTTTTTCGCTTATAACAGCAAATAAAAAACTGTTGTGAATAAATCTGACGTCCCGAAATATTTCTTGGCCATTTTTGTCTTGCTTCCAATTGATAGATTCCATGGAACTTCAGATCTCTTCACTCACGGACAAATTTGCATATTCCCTTTTGAAATATGATCCACATGCCATTTTCACACATGCGAAAATATTTAGCGAATTTTATCTTTCATCTTTATTTTTTAGTTAAAACTTAATATGCACCTATTGCTTTTTTCACCGGAAATAAGTTCTTTAAGTAGTCTTCTTTCACTGGAGCTTGCTTGTTTTTTGGAAAAGATGATTTTTTAAAATTTACGGCGCATTGTGTTTGCCTTCTTGATTTCTCCAAAAATTTGACTTTTCGCAGGCACGTGTTACACGGGAGTGTCAATGGGTTAACATAGGCATTCCTGATATAAGTTTACGATATTACGACTCTTCAATATTCTCCCATACATTTCTTTATATTTCGAACAAACGACCAGACACGCCGCTTGTGTCACAGGCAGCCCAAGCTCACTGCTAGAAAAGTGGACGTGACTCTTACCGCGTTGCGTAACGTTTTATATTTATAAAGGTTTGTATGGGATGTTATCGGTTTGCCTTAAAAGAGAGAAAAAAATGTCGTGTTTTGAGGTAAAATGGGCTTATCTTATTGCCTTGTTGTTTTCTTTGTTGATTCCGAGCGTCTCAGGCCATTTTGAAGCGTTTTCGGCGAGTTACCGCTATGTTGGTGTTCAACTGCTAAAAGAAAAACAAGGCCGGAAACCTATTTTAGAAGCGTCCATCGCCCGAAGCGAATAATTCCGCCAAAAAATTACCACCAATCTCGATTCCTCCAGAAAATCAAAGCAGAGATGTTGCAGTTCCATTTTCCATTGACTCGATTCACAATTCCTCCCACAGATCTTTCACTAGCGATACTTTTATCTCCAGATCGATCGGCTTTACAATTTCGAATTTGGCTGCTTGAAACGACCGCGGCCCGTTCGCCGATCGCACGGTATGTTGGGTAACAAAAATAAGCCCGGCGAGGGTAGCCAGCGGCTTGTAGTCCAAAGACAAACCCGTTAGCTCCCGTGGTCCCCTCGAGAGGTTTTGTCAAGACCGCATTGTTTTGATCGACCAATCAACATCGAGTTTTTGTTACCCAACATACTGTGCGATCGGCGAACGGGCCGCGGTCGTTTCAAGCAGCCAAATTCGAAATTGTAAAGCCGATCGATCTGGAGATAAAAGTATCGCTAGTGAAAGATCTGTGGGAGGAATTGTGAATCGAGTCAATGGAAAATGGAACTGCAACATCTCTGCTTTGATTTTCTGGAGGAATCGAGATTGGTGGTAATTTTTTGGCGGAATTATTCGCTTCGGGCGATGGACGCTTCTAAAATAGGTTTCCGGCCTTGTTTTTCTTTTAGCAGTTGAACACCAACATAGCGGTAACTCGCCGAAAACGCTTCAAAATGGCCTGAGACGCTCGGAATCAACAAAGAAAACAACAAGGCAATAAGATAAGCCCATTTTACCTCAAAACACGACATTTTTTTCTCTCTTTTAAGGCAAACCGATAACATCCCATACAAACCTTTATAAATATAAAACGTTACGCAACGCGGTAAGAGTCACGTCCACTTTTCTAGCAGTGAGCTTGGGCTGCCTGTGACACAAGCGGCGTGTCTGGTCGTTTGTTCGAAATATAAAGAAATGTATGGGAGAATATTGAAGAGTCGTAATATCGTAAACTTATATCAGGAATGCCTATGTTAACCCATTGACACTCCCGTGTAACACGTGCCTGCGAAAAGTCAAATTTTTGGAGAAATCAAGAAGGCAAACACAATGCGCCGTAAATTTTAAAAAATCATCTTTTCCAAAAAACAAGCAAGCTCCAGTGAAAGAAGACTACTTAAAGAACTTATTTCCGGTGAAAAAAGCAATAGGTGCATATTAAGTTTTAACTAAAAAATAAAGATGAAAGATAAAATTCGCTAAATATTTTCGCATGTGTGAAAATGGCATGTGGATCATATTTCAAAAGGGAATATGCAAATTTGTCCGTGAGTGAAGAGATCTCAAGTTCCATGGAATCTATCAATTGGAAGCAAGACAAAAATGGCCAAGAAATATTTCGGGACGTCAGATTTATTCACAACAGTTTTTTATTTGCTGTTATAAGCGAAAAACGTACGAATTTCGGAGCAACTTCAGAATACCCGTCCACACGAATTTCTTACGTGTACAAAGCCCACACGGTAAAATTCATCATGCTTAGATCGTTGTTTACTTGCCTTCNTTTTTTTTTTTTTTTTTTCATAAACTGGTCATTAGGACTAACATATTATATTATTACGAAGCAAGAGTTGTATACTTGTGCCCTCGTGACAAGTTTTAGATCAATAGGAGGCGCTTTATTAAAACCAGAATTCTTCCTGTCTCAGTGCCAAGGTTATCCAGAAATATGCAGTGACTGTGCCTGTTTGTCTCAAGTGGAAAAACCACACGTTCTTTCTCGATTTGTCATTCGCTTTACTCGAGTCTAATATTGCAGAACACCGGTATTTCCTGTTCACTGAATTCGATTTATTTCTTGACCTTTTCTTAACAAGCTTTATAAGAGTATCAGAGCACTGAATCTTTATAACAGACAATGACACAAATATCGTAAGGAAAAATCCATTACCAGAGCTACGAATCAGTAATTAAGAACTAAAAATGATAGTTTTCCAGCCATGCATTGATAAGTTAGGTATCGATTTGATAGGAATGGTGGTCCGCCGAAGTATAAGACTTTGTGGTTGTAGAAATAACGATATAACACGAAAAACTTCTATGATTATCATACCATGCAGTAAACGGGATAACCTGACGTGCCAATGCTTTTGAATATATTTTTTTCCGAAAGGATGCCCGTGTTAAGTGACGGATTAACCTTTGTAAGTTTTTTTCTGCAAGACGGACTGCTAAGAGTAGGTTTACGCTAAAGAATCATTCTAAGCCATAGTAAATCTATCATGTAGGACAAAAGAGACGTCAGTTAGGCACTCGCGACTGACACTTCTTTGTTACACAATATACAGTCCCCATGTCTAAGGCTTGATTTACTGTAAAACTACGTAAGCCGTAGATAAACTCTTTTTATGCTTGCAGTCAATCAAGCTTAACCTACCCATGAAACTTATACTTTGCGAGAATTCATAATTAGTTGTTAATTGAAAGTGCCAAACTGCCTAGCAGATCAGGATTCTAACAGTTTTAAAAGGAGGTCACTTCACTTCATTGTTAATTTACAATATCTTTAAAAGACCATTCGTGGATTTGCCGGTTTTTTAAAAAAGAGACTGGGAACGGTAGGAGTAGTAACGCCGCCGACCTCGTGAAGGGTGAACAGAGCTTTGTCAAATAGTGAATGCAAAATTTTAAGCCAAAATGCACTATTCATTTGAGTTTATTCGGAGGTTTAAGAAACTCTGTTAAAAGCATTTGAATAAAGTGGTCTTTCAAGGACGTTCTGGCAAAAGGCTAAATTAACAGAGTGCCAGAGTCAAACCGAGCGTAGAAAATTTTTCAGTAACCAATGAGCCAATGAGGACTTAATGATTATAATCGCAATTCGCAATTGGTTTAAGTTCTACATCTGATTGGCCAAGAGGTTGGCTCGAGTTTGTGGACCAATCACAGAGCATTGCGAAGCAAAGCCAAAGCCGGTCTAACCGAACTGCTTTCGACACCCGATTGAAAAAGGCTGTAAACAGTTGCCTCAGCCAGCTTATAACAAAATAATTATCAATTTATTTTTGCCATGAGACAGATTACAAATATGGTTTATTTATCAACTCAAACCTTCCTTTTTTCAGTTCCTCGGATCCGTGTTAAGAAAGGAAATGAGAAAAAGATCATCGAGGTGACTAGCGGGAAGGATGTTAAACTTATTTGCCAGATCAGAACCAGTGGTCAAAACCCAAAACCACGATATTACTGGCTCAAAGACAATCAGACGATCACTCCATCGGATCATCCTCGTATGAGGTTAAAACCCCTTAAATACCTAAAAATTAAAAAAGCAGAGAAAGAGGACGCTGGCTTCTACACCTGTGTCGCGGTAAATGATTGTGGCGAGAATTCTTATACAATGCAGCTATTTGTCAGAAGTAAGTAAACTTGCGAGCCACTGAAGTTTTAAAAAATACAAGTACGCACGTGATTTACACTGATGTCCCGAGGATTTATCCTGGGAAAGTCCTCTTGTACTCTAAGTTTGCTATAAAGGAGGTGATGTCAGTTTGTGTAGAAGTTGCTGAAGAAGGCTGATGAGAAGGGTAAAGATAGTAATTTTAAACTTGCCATCAAAAAAATTTCTTACCAACGAAGGCGCAAAGTCTTCTTTATCACTGTTGTTGTGATAAAGATATTTTGAACTGAGAGAGCTTGCAGTCCAAAATATAGTCTGGACGCGAAGAGGAGATGCAGGTGGATGTAGTCACAGATAACTTGGAGTGCGAATGAATTTTTCACCTAAAGAATTCCCTGTGTTTTTTTTCCTTCAAGGTCCAACGATGGATCCCAACAAAAATACAACAGGAGGTAGGAAAGATGTATTTGCATTTCTTATCAGAAGAAGACAGTGAAAGATGATTATAGTTATACTTCAGTTGATGCAGGGGCTGATCTTGATTTTTTTTAAATAGAGAAAAGTTAACGTGCCACTAAGTGAAGGCGAACAGGTTATGCGTCAAAGTGACGAACAGAGTTGACGTATTATCCGTCAACTCTCCCTATCAAAGCGGTATATTCCGTGCCCGACTTTTGTACCGCCGCCTGAATTTATTGAGATGCAGCCCAAATAAGATACATTGTTAATGGCGATTAACTTATAGGAGCGGCCATTCATAAGGTTTGAAATATTTGTTTTAACATTCCATGCATCAGGTCGAAAATAAAGCGAGACTACCCGCTTTAGTCCTCTTGATTACATTAGAGATAAGTTCAATACACGGGCTGTCAATGTAGCAAAGCGAGTTTGCCATAACAGTGGTTGTTCTTTGCTTCACAGTTGCTCCAATATTCACAGTGCGGCAATACAAGAGGAAGCGTAACCTTCTTGCAGTACCCGTTGGCAACTCTGTAAAGCTGGACTGTTCTGCCGATGGAAACCCACGTCCTATTGTGAAATGGTACAAAGATGGAAAGTTGTTTAAGGAAAGGAAAGGTGGCAGCAAAGTCTATTTGAGTGCATGGACAACCGTGTTGAGTCTGAAGGACTTGGTTCCCTCTGACACTGGGTCATACAGGTGTAATGTGAGCAACTCATACGGGTGGATTAATCATACATACAAAGTAGATGTTCATGGTAAGGACAAATCTAATGGTAAATTAATTCTTAGTTCTCTTTTACCTTTGCTATTGAATGCTCTATCATGCTTCCAAGATCCCATTCTCCGAATTGAATTTTGCATTTCCGGTCATTTCTTTTAAAAAAAAGGAAGACTCAGTCAATCATTCGCTCTGTGAATTTGCGGCTCAATCATCATTTCTCTCTCAGTCAGTCAGTTGTTAAATTAGCCCATTAGTCTTGGCAACGTAGTTAGCCCGTAATTTAGCCGTGAGTTCAGCTAGCGAATCACAGCAACAACTACTAGCTGAGACTACCCCTAAAAAATGTTCTCGATAAATTCACAAGTTTCAATTAATAAATTAATTAGAGGGCATCATAACCCTGATATTTCTAAAAGCTAAAAATGTCGAAGAGTCGTAATAACTAGGAGAGACTTAGGAGCGAAAAGCAATGGCAAGATCTGATCGACATAGATAATAATTAGCATTAATACATGTGGTAAAAACTATAATGTTTTTAAAGACATCCTGTAAATTGGGAAAGGAAAGTCACTTTCAAACTGCACATATTTGAATTCTAGATCTTTGGGCGACCGAAAGTCTTTCAGGTAATCGGCATAATATTTGAATTCTAAATCTTTGGGCGACCAAAACTCTTTTAGGTAACATTACATTAGTGAGCCAGTCATTGTTCGTCGTTTGGGTAAGCAGCCTCCGTAGTAACTTTCTTTTGTGCACTGTATATATGTCCAACTTTGTAATGAACCCTGTGTTTCAGAACGAGCTCGTGCTGAACCAGTTATTCTTCCCATGGAAAATGTCACGGTCCATCGAGG